AGCACCGGAAATATAGAGGTAGTAATTATAACTTTATTTATAGTATTTATTATTTTATTCGTTGCATATAAAATAAATAAGTACATAAAAAAATATGTACATAAACGTGTACACACGGCATTAAATTCCAATAACGTTTAAACACTAGCATGTTATTATATTTAGACAAATTATAATATTATTATATATATATATATATATTTTTTTATTCTTATTGTTACATTTACATAATTATGACATAACTATAATATTATACATTCAAAAAAAAAAATTTTACAAAAAGATAATGAATTATATCTATGAATTATATCTCATACAAAATATACAAAAAAAAAATGTATAAAAAATTTTTTTTTTCTATTGAATTTGTTGAATTTGATTTGTGTTGAATTTTGCTTTCTTGTCCGATCTCGTTACTAATTTTGATTTATGGAAAACTTTGCTACATACATAGGGGAAGTTTAGAATATTCTTAAAAACGCAAAAAAGGCTAGTATCAGAGGATATACTAAGCCCACGATAGCCATTAAACTAAATAGGTTAGATGACCTTAAAAGGCTTATAGAAGCAACATATGTAACCAAAAATTTTGAGGAATTTTTAGCTCTAAAAGAAGTTTTTTTAGAAAAATATACTCAGACAAGAAAATATCTCTTGAATATGACATCAACTGAACAGACACCTGACGCTATAACCATAAATAACCACATAACGAGTGGTAATCAAAATAACAACGGCACACAAATAGCAAATATGGCGTCGTATGACTCTGTAATAAAAAGTGTAGAAAAACTCCTACCCGTTTTTACAGGAAAGCAAGAAGAATTAAGTTCTTTCTTGCGACGATTGAATTTGTATAGCAAGAAGATTAGAGACGAAGACAAACAGGAGTTCTTAGAGCACATTGTAGATTGCAAACTCAACCACAATGTGAAGATAAGAGTTTCGCCAGTAGGTTTTCCAACTTCAATGGAAACATTGGTAGAGAAACTCAAGTCAATTTACATACCGAAAGACACAGTTCCAATTCTCTTACAAAAAATAAGTGAAATTAGGCAAGGTCACAACCAGTCGATCACGGAATATAGTGATAAAATGGCCAAACTATTGTCAGACCTAAATACGGCGTCTCTATTAAAGAGAAATTATAGCCCAACCTCGCCACAAGCTGAAGGGATGCTAGCAACTAACGAAGAGAATGCATTACTGGCATACAAAAAGGGCCTTAATGCAACATATTCGCAAGCTGTACAGATGTCACAGCCCAAAACTTTCCAGGAAGCGAGAGAAATCGCTGAAAGTTTACTTTTCACTGAACAGAACCAAAGAATGCTATACTACCGTGGTAACACGCCAAATGGCAATAGACTTAGTGGCAACTGGTCCAATAACCATAACAATTATAATAATAATAATAATAATAACAATCGAAATAACCGGTACCATAACAGAAATAACCGATATAACAGTAGAAATACATATAATAATAGTGGTCAAAGAAACCACAACAATCAAAATAACAACAACTCAAATAGGAATCAAAATAATTCTCTTAACAGTAACAACAGGAATGTCCAAATAAATCGAAGTAACAACAATAACAACTGGAGACAAATCAACAGTAGAAACAACAACAGAAACGGAAACGAAAGGAACATTCGTTTAACAGCAGCACAGGAAAACTGCAACACACCAGAGGGAAACCAGTAGAATTCACCTCTGGTAAAATAAAAAAATATATCTACTCATTCAACCCACATGCATCGAACTATATAAAAGTTCATTGCCAAGACACTAACAACTATATAAAATTATTAATCGACACAGGAGCAGATGTGTCACTAATCAAAAACAAGTTTAATCTAAATTATAATTCGAATAAAACATGTACATTATCTGGTATCACAAACAACTATATAAATTCCATAGGCATCACGACTCTTCATATGATGTTTGAAAATATAAATTTAAAGCATGAATTTTCGGTGGTGGAAGAGGATTTTCCAATTGAAGTAGATGGCATCATCGGTAGAGATTTCCTAACCATCTTTAAATGTAATATTGATTATTACACTTTTTCGTTAACAGTTACCCACAATGAACAACAGATAACTATTCCCATATCATATAAACCAATTGTGCTACAAGCACGAACAGAACATATATTACCTATAGACATGTATTTCGATGATGATAATTTGTTGATTTCTCAAGAAATTGACAAAGGTGTTTTCATTGCAAATACAATGCAACCAGCAAGAGGAAACTGCCATATTCGAGTTTTGAACACGAATGAACACAGTGTTACTCTAAATACACTAAATTTTAAAACCTGTCCTTTGAACGAGTATTATAAAGTTAATAAAGACCCTTGTAACAAATATAATGAATCACGTTCACAAAAACTTTTAAATAAATTACAAATAGGAACGCAACATAACAAATGTGACGATAAGGAACTTACCTCACTGGTAACTAAATTTCAACATATATTCTTGATGGAAGGAGAACAAATATCCTGCAACAATTTCTACACGGAACATATTTCAACTTCAGATAATGTGCCAACATACATCAAAAATTATAGACTACCACATAGTCATAATGATGTTGTTAAATCGCAAGTCCAAAAATTACTTGACGATGATATAATACAACCCTCTAAAAGCCCATACAATTCACCAATCCTACTTGTACAGAAGAAATCATCAGATGATGAGAAGAAATGGAGACTCGTAATCGATTACAGAAAACTCAACAACAAAATAATAAATGACAAATTTCCTCTAACACGCCTTGAAGACATACTAGACTTGCTTGGTAAAGCAAGATATTTTTCAACTTTGGATATGACTAGTTAATTTCACCAAATTCCCATTGATAACTCATCACGACAAAAAACTGCATTTTCGACCATCAATGGTCATTATGAATTTAAAAGACTACCTTTCGGTCTAAAAATAAGTTCAAACAGTTTTCAACGAATGCTAACCTTAGCGTTAACAGGCCTTGAAAACGAAGCATTTTTATATGTCGATGATATCATTGTTTTTGGCAACAGCCTAAAACACCACAATATCAATCTAGAAAAAGTCTTCAAGAGATTAAGTGATTGCAATTTAAAATTAAATCCTGAAAAATGCAACTTCCTAAAACACGAAGTTACATATCTAGGACACCTAATCACTGAACATGGCGTCAAAACAGACCCAGCCAAATATAAAGTCATTCAAAATTATCCTAAACCTACGAACGTAGATGAAGTTAGGAGATACATTGCTTTCTGTAATTACTACAGACGTTTTATCAAAAATTTTGCATCAATATCAAAACCTTTAAATTCGTTATTAAAAAATAATCAAAAATTCGTATGGAATACTGAATGTGAAATAGCATTCGAACGTCTTAAATCAACCCTAATGAGTCCTCCTGTATTGAAGTATCCAGACTTCGATAAACCGTTCATAATAACAACGGATGCCTCTGACTATGCACTTGGTGCTGTACTTTCTCAAGGTAATGTTGGTTCAGATTTGCCAATTTGCTACGCAAGCAAAGCCTTACAAAAACACGACTTAAACAAGCCAGTTATTGAAAAGGAACTACTTGCGATACATTGGGCAATAAACTACTTCAGACCATACATATATGGCAAACATTTTTATGTTGTAACTGACCACAGACCCTTGATTTCATTATTCGTGCACAAGAATCCTTCGTCAAAAATGACGAGGATTCGAATCGATTTATCAGATTATGACTTTGAAATAATCTACAAAAAGGGAAAAATTAATACTAATGCTGATGCCCTGTCTAGAATAAAAATAGACAGTAATATTTTAAAAAATTTGATACCTACCAATGAAGACACGATGTCCAGTCGGAAATTGAAAAATCCAGACGAAGATGAAGAAACAATAAGTAATGTTAAAGAAATATCGCAAATATGTATAACGACTAGAAGTAAAACGCGCGCTGCAGCTACCACAGGTACCGCTGCCAATAAAACTACCAATAAGAATACACAAAAAGAGACAAAACCAACTGAGCCTGATCAACTCTATTGTTGGGATTGTACTTCTATTAGTGATATTCGAGGTATGAGAACACTGCAGTTTAAAATTGTAAATAAGAATAAGGATGCATTCATACGTTATGATGACAAAAAAGTCACAGTGGAATTATGCGAAATACCTCCGAAGCCGATTTCGATTATGGTGAAGCTAATTTCGAAATTAGAAAAATTGAATAT